TCTCTCTTATTTATGTTATCATTACTAGTCCCACAATTATTTTTATTTTGTTTTTGGTCTTTACTGATCTTCCTAATGAATTTTATAGGATAGCTATTCAACACCAAGGCTTCTACTATGTTTTTTTCGTCATTTAAGTCTTTTCTTGTGCTACTTAGTGCTATGGCTCGGTATGTTAGACACTTCATTAAGCCTGCCGTAACAGTTAACGGATGAGATGAATTAAAGTCTAAATATCTATTAGAATGCGTTGGTTTTCTATAAACACTAGTGTGTAATTTGCCTTCTTCTATTCGTTTTATTTTACAATCTAACATAGCTAATTCTCCTTGTTCATTTTCTGATTCAAATGTGAATTTTATTCCCTCCACTAGTGAGTTTATGTGTGTCAAGAAGCTAGAGAGATATATGTTCTGCTTTTAACACTGTCAAACTGTCATCCACAAATCTCCACCATATTTTTGGAGTAGGATTAAGTGTATATATATATATATATATATATATATATATATATATATATATATATATATATATATATATATATATATATATCTGATACGATAGGGGATATTGGTGATCCCATTGCTACACCTTGAGTAGTAGATGTGAGGCGTAACTGAATCCCTAAAATAATTTCTTCAGTGGGCAGCTTTGTCCTATGATTCAGTTCAGGATCCGCAGTTAGTTCTTTTTTAACTGCTTCTAAGGCCACATTGACTGGTATATTAGTATAAAGACTAGTTATATCAAAACTAACCATTTTTTCATCATTCTCTAGTTGAATGTCGTTTAGTTTATTTTTCATCCCATATGAATTAGTTAACCTAGAATTTGAACGATTTCTAATGGGGCATAATATTAGAGCTAAGTGTTTTGATAATTCATAAGTAGGGGTATTTCTAAAATCGACTATTGGTCGTATGGGGTAACCTGGCTTATGTATTTTAATAGTACCATACATTCTACTAGCATTATTAGTTTTAGGCATTAAACTAAACCATTTTGAAACACCCAGTGACGGCTTTATTATGCGTATTAGTTTTGCTGTAGATTTCTTAACCTTATTCATTATTGTATCTACAGGCTTCTTAATTTCTTCATATGGACTCGTTTGAATATTTTCAGTAACTTTTTTGATGTAGTCAGATTTATTTAAAACTATGATAGCGTTTCCTTTGTCAGCTTTTGCGATGACAATATTTTTATCCTATTTTATACTAATTAGAGCTTCTCTTTCCGATTTTGTTAAGTTTGATCTTTTTTGATTTTTCAGGGTTAATGCATATAATGCTCTAACCTCTTCTGCTATTGTCTTATCTATTGAACCTAGTGTTACTTCTATGTTAGGAATGATATACGCTGGTATTAATATACTAACTGTTACATTACATTTCAAAGTAACGATCGAACCCCGAACCATTTGTATGATCCGTGAGAGTCACAACCGCTGTGCCACCGATTTTCCCGTCGATTGATTGGACCGAAGTGCTCGGTCTCAGGTTGACCATGACTGCAAGCTTCTTGTGCAAATGCTTCGACGATATCTGGGCATTTAATTAATTAATTTAATCATTCTAATTATTATTATCAATTATAATTTACTAAAAATATCAAGAATGTTTGTAGCTATTTATTTAGATGATTGGTATTTCTGCTAATATAGTGGCCTCACAACTCAAGGTAATGGATTTGAGGTTGGGAACTGTGAAAAAGTTTACGACTGGGAGAGAACTATCATCTACTGCCCAGTGATTTTCAACGATTCCCGAATAGTGTTAGGCAAATGCCTAAATCCACACTGAAACTAGTGAGGTAAGCACAATTCCAACAACTTTTCGAAGAACGCCAAATGACTGGGAACAATTTAGGAACAGGTAAGTAGATTCATCAGATTTCAACGATAACCAATTCCTTTCTATACAAGATAGAAAATGTTTAGTAAACAATGGTTGAACAGTATGAGTAAATAGAAAGCATATCCTCTATACCAAAACTTGAACTTAACTGACAACCCCCACCCTCTATAAACAAAAACATTGGCACGATTATGATCGCCAAATGTTGGTTTGTAGAGATTCGATCGGCTACAGGTTTGATCGCAAACTGAAATCAGTTAGAGAACCATTGGAAAACCAGTGAGTACTGACTGGGTAACTGTATCGTTCGCCATAGTTCAGGACTCTTCATCTGCATGCACCAAACGCCAGGGTTTGATCTCAGGACGTTTCAGTTACACACAAGGAGAGCCTGCGAACCATTTGGTTACTGGGACCCCCATCGATCTAGCGGCCTATGAACTCCAACTCCTACGATATGTAGTGGAATGACCAGTCAACATCATCAACAAGTAACACTGTGTGAATATTTGTAACAAACAGGGTCTACTAACTCCGTTTAAATTTGTTTATTTAATATATCAAGTATTGGTTTTGTAAGAGGATTATTGTTTGATTGGTTGGAGGATTTTCTTACGAGTTGATATGTGTTAGAGATCCATTGGAAAACCTGGGGGTACTAGACAGAGTTCCAAACTAGGATGGAACAGCTGATTGCCGAGTGCTCCCAGGTTTTCCAACTGATGTCAGCTCATGATGAAATCCTCCAACCTATTGAATATATATCACACAGTGAAACAGTTTGATTTACTGGATGACAATGTTTCAAACACAATTAATTATTACTTTTCATAACCATATCATCAATTATAATCACACAATTTAGAAACTTGAATTTTATATTTTTCTATTCGAAAAATTCTACTACCCCAATGACGATAAATAGTGGAGAACAAAGAAAGCTGTAAATCTCAAGTTTCGAAACACTGACCGATAGCTGCTACCTTGACATCCAGGAAGGTTGTTAGGATAGCGATTAGACTAAAAGCAATCACCGCATTGTGTAAGAATCTTTCTTACACTATGCTGGGGGTCTGAGGGCGAAGTCATACTGCTGGGAAACAGGGATGTAACAGTTGCAGTAAGGTGTGTTTCCCTCAGATGACCAGCATACCAGGCAGCTATGCTGGTCTCTCCACTCCGGAGAGAGGAGGTTAGGAAAGGTCGACCTCAACAATTGTACATCCCGAGCTACCCTACGGTGGTCCGTAACCGGCGGTATGTTTACTAGTACGGAACCAAACCACGAAACCAGTTCACACAAGTCGTGTGTAACCGGCTAGCATCAAGCAGTTGTTCCCTGGGCTCTGCGGTCACGTAACACTAACCCTCTCTCTGTTTTAGGTACCTGAAGAATCAATCAACTTCCAAGGTGTGGGTAGCCGGGAAGTAACATCCGCTCACACACTTCCAAAAGCATACACGAAGCCTTCCTGAGCCTCATTCATCTTTAGAAGTAGTATGATCATCCTTGTCGACCGAGAGGTTCACTGGAGATGTTTGGCTGTAAAGGGAATCCCGAGAAAATATATTGCACTGATTAAGGAACTCTACTCGTACTCATACAGCCAGGTGAGGGCTTACGGCGAGCTGTTATCTGAACTGGTGATGACCAGTGGTGTCCGTCAAGGATGCCCATTATCCCCTTTTCTATTCAACTTCATCATAGATGTACTAATGGACTTAACCCTAGGTGACTTCAGCGACTCAGGAATTGACTTGATACCAGGGACTAATCTCGTTGACTTGGAATATGCAGACGATATAGTCCTTCTAGGCGAAGACGCTGACGAAATGCAGAGTCTTCTAAACACCTTAAGCCGCAATCTACGAATGTTTGGCATGCGATTCGCTCCCGCCAAATGTAAGATGATGTTACAGAACTGGACTACTTCAACGCCTAGTTTAAAAATAGTAAGTGAAGTGGTAGAGCACGTTGACCGCTTCACTTATTTGGGAAGTACCATCAGCCAGTGCCAACGGGTTGATCTCTGACGAAATCTCAGCACGAATACAGGGGGCTCGTTTCGCATTTGCCAGTTTACTGGCGTGGACGTGATATCCGACAGGCTATCGACCAAAGGACAGGTGTATTGCTCATCAGTCCTCCTTTATGGCCAGCTGTGAGACCTGGCCAGTGAGAGTGGAAGACATGAAAAGACTAGCTGTCTTTGATCATAGGTGCCTGCGTTCTATTTCCCGTGTGAGGTGGCATAATAAGGTGAGCAACAATGAAGTTAGGCGTCGAGTTCTAGGTAAACAGGGGAACTCAGTCGACGAAGTGTTGGTGAAGTTACAAAGACTGAGATGGTTAGGACATGTGTTACGTATGCCAAACCATCGCCTCCTTCGACGAGCTATGTTAGCGGATATAGGGTCAGGCTGGAAAAAAGCTAGCGGCGGTCAAACAAAAACTTGGCACCAGTCAATGAAACCCACAACAGTTGGTCTAAGCCACGTAGGAAGGTGTAGACTTCCTGGTTGGGGTCGTCGGGACGGTAAAAATCTATGGTTGGAAACAATTGGTGATATGACTCAAGATCATCGTTCTCAATGACTGGTGTAGATGCATCCACTCCTTGTGACTTATGATTTCCAATGAAACTGTTTTGTTCTATTTTATTACTTTTCCTTTGTCTCACACCTCTGTTTACTGTCTCTATTACGCATTTCTTATACTTTCATTTCTTGGTTTGTGTGCTACGTGGAGGGAGTGTGGCGACTTGAATTGCCGCATATATGTGCAAAGTTCTATGTTGAAAACAGACAGGACAGAGTGATCATATTTGATATGATTCTGAACAATCATATAAATTGTGTTCAAAACCTTGTCATCCACTAAACAGTAATACTGTTTCACAGACTGTGTGATATAGAACTACATACTACCACAGTGGCCAAGTTTCACACACCGAGTCCAGTCACTTACTCGCCTATATATAACATTGGCTACACTGATTACATTTGTATCTCAGGACACAATGCCGTTGGATTAGATCCCATTTGCCTGAATACGCTTCACAACCTCTCCTTGTATGTTACTGAAAGACCACTCTCGAAAGTTTGAACCCTGGTGATTTGAGCAGTAAGCGAAAAACAAAACGATGAGAAAAGTCAATTTGGTTTTTTTTTATCCACAAATAAATTAATTAATAGTTAGGTGAGCTAAGCAGATAGATATAAGTAGATGAGTAAAAAAAAGTGAACATGTATGCGAATGTCTGTATGCGAGTGTGCGTGTGTATGTATGTGTGATTGAGCGTGTTGATGTTGTTCCCCGGATTGAAAAGAAAAACAACAAATAAAAATAAAGAAACAAGAAAATAAATAAAAAAAAGTCAGTTGAAATATGAATAAAATACAAAGTCAACTTAGTCGCTGAGATGCGTAACAGCAGTAGTCGTCGTCGTCGTAATAGTACATTATGGTAGGTTAATCATGGATACATACAACACCCTACTACTACTATTCCTACTACTGGCGATAATAATTTTTATTACACCTGGTAGATGATACACATGTTATTTTGATATAAAATAAATACTTTAAAAAAAATTTAAAAAAATAATAATAATACAGAAACAAATATAGCCTTGATCATCAATTAATTAATAAAATAACTAGTGGCAATACTAATAGTAATGATTACAAAGTACAGTGAACAGGTGAAAAGTATTTCGAAAGTATATAAAAGGACTATTCAGCATAGATAAAAATAAGGCACGATAATAATAATAATAATGATAATTGATACGCGCAAGTATATATAAAATATATACACAAGTAATATATATATATATATCCATGAGTAATTTTAGTAAATTGGTTCTTCAGCTTTAAAATTCTTTATTAAATTTTCAAGATCTACAACATTACTGAATTCATCGTCACAGGTTGTATCAAAATTGTCAATTGTATAATCAGGATCCTCTTTAATTTTTGTTAAGATATCAAGAAATTCATAATTATCTAACCACATACACGGATTTTGATCATTAATAATTGATGTAGGTGATGGGGATAAAAGATTTGAGTCTGTATCGTTCTCCTCCTCCTCTTCCTGCTCTTCGTCTTCTTCCTCTTTCTCCACCTTGAAGGCTACCGCCGCTGCAACTTCCTCTTCCTCTTCATCATCACCATCATTATCATTATCATCACTATCGCAGCCATCATCGTCGTCATAAAGAGAAGCTGAAGAAAATGATCGTTTCACTTTACACGGATTGACAGGTGTATTTGACCAATTCGATAAACAATTTTCAGTTTCTTCGGATTTAAAATAATAATTGTTATTGTTTTTATGATTACTATTATGATTATTATCATGGTAAGATGAACACTTTTTAGAATTATACGATCGTGGTCCTCTAATTCGTTTGGAATAAACTGTATCAGAAGAGATACGATTTGATGTAGGATAGGATATTTCTTGATCACCGATAGATGCACGTTCTGCAGGAGTTACATCATATATACCGTCAATAGATCGACAGCTATAATAGACACAAAAGAAATAAAAGTTGGTATTCAAATGTTGGTTTGTAAGGATTTGATTGGTTTCAGGATTTCATCATAACCTGACATTAGTTAGGACAAATACTCGCCCCCGAAGACACTGGCTAGGGGGTCGCGCTATGTCGTGAATTGGCAGAAGTTAGAATTCAAGGACCATTGGATCGGGTCCCAGTGGCTTAATGGTATACGAGCTCGCCTTGTCACCGGAAGGTCCTGGGTTCGAATCCCGGTGGGTGAGTACTGCTGAAGAGTCCCAAACTAGGACGAAACAGCTGGCTGTCCAGTACTCCCAGGTTTTCCAATGGTTCTCTAACTAATATATCAGCTCATGATGAAATCCTGAAATAAAAGTTGAATTCAAGCGGATAATTCAAATAATACTTACAACAAATAATAATAATAACAACAGCTTTATTCCAAACAGTATTTGTGGTATGGAATTTTCAGCGTGCATTACAATATATTGCATCTAATTACCTCATAAATTTTATAAGATTTTGAAAACCGAAAGCAACAACCAAAACAAAAATAGATAACGGAGAAGAAATAAAATAGAACAGCGTTGCGTTTACATTTTAAACAATCCACCACAGGATAAGAAATATAAAATTAGTGTGTAATAGAAGATGTGAACAAAAATATAATTGGAACTATTTGTTAGAGTGCCACAGTAAGTTGATCGTGTCATACCTAAGGGATTCCTCATCACATAACAGCTTTGTAAGATAAGGTATTGTGGAGTTTTTGTACTTGGTAGTTCTAGCATATAGCCTCTTCTAGTTATACCAGATGAAATGCAAGAAGAGAGCTGCGTATAGAGAGGATGCTCAGGGTCTGACAATACAGTATTCGCTAGTTTTTTACATGACATTATATGTCCATCCAAAATAGTGTTAACCAGTTGGTTTAACGATATCCCACTTGCCCTACTAACGGCTTTCAGTGCCCTTCTATGCAAAGCAAAGTCTTACTTAAGTAGTCCAGGAAAGATTAATGGGAAGCAGTAAAGAGGGATGGGTAGAATACAAGAATTGACGAACTGAGAAAACAAAGACTGCTTTATACCAGACTGCCTTAACTTCCTAGCATAGAACGTTAAGCGAAACATCTTTCTAGCAACTAGCAAGATGTCGGAGGGCCAGGAAAGATCGAAGGAAATACTCAGTCCAAGGTACTTGACATTGGATGTAATTTCAAACTCTATGCCGTCAATGATAGCGGGGCCATGTGAGCTAGCTAGTTGTTGTAGGTCACGTTTTCGTCTGAAATAAAAAAATGAAATAATCTACACGAAAATTAGGTCAGTGATGCGGTGGTAAAAGAATACTACTGGCTATCCATGTATCTGATTCCTCACGCAACCCCAACCTGTAAAGTGGTAAACACCACGGCTACTGAAACATCACAGTTCAAGCTTCACGCTCCTCCTCCTACTCCTATGTCCCACATGAAACGCAAAGGAGTGAAATGAAACTAAAGAAAAAATTGTAAACAAAATTTCTAAGCTTTTCTTTCATATATTGACTTTGTAAGGATTATGTTTAACTGATCCCGCTATTTCATGAATTCGCAGAAGTTAGAATTCATGCACTGGCTGGCCATTGGGTCGGGTCCCACAGTGGCTGCTAAATGGCCTACGAGTTCAACTTGCAACTGGAAGCTCCTGGGTTCGAACCCCTGCGGTGAGTCCTGAACTAGGGACAAAACAGCTTATAATGAAACCTTCCAACCAAAGATTTTTAAACCTGAAGATTGAATTTCTGCATGCATTTTATAGTCAAACTGATGTCTTTTTGTGAATGATGACACCAATTGATGAAAAAAAAAAGCGAAAACCATTTCAAGTTTATAATAGAAGGCTACGTGCATATTTGTGTGCTGCACAATCTGTGCAAAGTTCAACGTTGAAACAAGTCAGTCAGTCAGTCAGATAAGCATAGTGAAATTTAGCATAAAACTTTGTATACTAGTATGGAATGATGTAAGAAATGGAGACAGATAAAAAACCAACAATAACTCTTATTTTTATTTTTGATTACAGCTTGACTCCACACCGTATTTTTTGTACAAGTATGGAATTTTCAGCGTGGATATCGGTAGGCCAAAATTCGCAGGCCGACCATAGATATCAGGTGTGCTTCGTCGGCGTGGGCTCGAACCTTGGACCGTGTCCATGGTCGGCGAGAGTCCTAACCACTGTGTCACTGACGCACACTCAAACGTACCATCTAATTTATTAATACTGACTGGTTTCAACATGGAACCTTGCGCAGATATGCAGCAGGTCAAGTGGCTACACGCCCTTCGTGTAACACACAAAGCAACAGAGATAGATAATAGACACAAGTGTGAGCGAGGGAGAAAGAAGAGTAATACAGAAAAACAACAGAATTTTATTGGATATGACACAAAGAGTGATGAATACATCTGTGTCATCATTGAAAACGAATATTTTTTTTAGCCCATATCACTAACTGCCTACACCTTTCATTGGTTCTTAGCATCCTGAAGACCACAACTACTTTACAAGTCTGCAATTCTCTACGCGACTGACTAGCTCAAAATAACTGTTGTGAATTTCACTGATTGATGAACCTATGTTTTGGTTTGACCACATCACCATCAGCTCTTTTCCAAGCTGACTTTGTGTCAGTTAAAACTGTCGATTGAGGAAGGCAATAGCTAGGCACAGATGCGTACCCCATGTCCAAACTAACTGTTATTATATGTTTGTGTGAGCATAATCGATAATGACTCGTCAGTACTCAGTTTCCGAAAACTAATTTTTCATGTACTAAATTACGATTTCTACTAATTGTGTGTGTGTGTGTGTGGCCTGTCCAGCCCAGAATAGGTGGAGTGAACTACAATTCAGGACTCACTAAGTGAAAGTCGATTGCCTACATAGGTAAAAGAAGTCGTCTTTTCGTTTGCTTACTATCCTATGAGAACATGAAAATTCTTAGGGAACACTCCTGATTACATAAGAAAAAATGCGAACGAAATTAAATACCTTTCTCTGGCGATTCAAGAATATAACTGAGACAACAATAGTAATAATAAAAATAACAACAATTCTATAGTAGGTTTGTAAGGATTAGTTTTTTTTAAACGAGTTGATCACGGATTGATATCAGTTAGAGGAACCATTGAAAACCAGCCATACGGAGTAGTGGACAGCTGTTTCTCGAACTTAGGACGAAAGTGCCACTTGAGGACATAATGCTAGGAGTGCAGCTATACCTGACTTTCATAGTATTTAAATTCCACGGAAAAATATACAAAGTGAGCGAGTTGCCATGGGGTCACCAATATCTCCGATTGTGGCAGATATATATATATATATACATGGATAGGTGGGAATATATAGTGATCGAAACGTTCAGCCCCACCCCAAAAGTATGGTGAAGGTATGTAGATAGCACATTCACTATACTTAGAACACAAGATATAAATAGATTTTTCGAATACATTAACTCAGAGGTGGAGGCAATTCAATTCACTTATGAATTGGAAAGTCAGGAAGGGGAGCTTCCAATGTTAGATTGCAACGTAAAAAGGAAAGAAGATGGGAAGTTAAACACTAGTGTTTACAGGTAACCCACATATTCAAACAATTATTTAGACTTCCGATCATCTCATCCTATGTCAGTAAAATAGGATTGGTAAAATGTTTAACTGACAGAGCACAAAAACTAAGTATTACCAAGAAAAATCTAAGACAGGAAGTGATCCATATAAGAGAAGCCTAGAAACATAATAATTACCCTGATAAATTATTCAGGAAATATAGAAATAAAATAAATAATAAAACTAGCGATAGTGATAATAATAATATTAATGACGACACCAACAATAAGGAATCTAAATCATCAGTAGTTATTCCATACAAGGAAGGAACCTCGGAAGCCTTACGCAGAACTCTTAACAAGGCAGGCAGGAATAATAGTGGCTGGCATTCAAATCAACCACAAACTCAATTGGAAACAAGCTTTGTCGGTTAAAGTATCAATCCTGTGGAGCCAATTAAATAAAACAATTTAGTTTATCTAATACCCCACCCGCAATCACTGTCAGGTCAAATACATAGGTCATACTAGTAGAACAGGGTCAATCAGACGACCCGAGCATAAACACCTTGCAGCAAAATCTAGATTAGTTGACCCAAATGAGATCAGAAATCTAGGGAATAGTTCAACCGTAGATAGCACTCACCACATGTAATCACACACAACCATACAATAGGATGGATGGGATAAGATGACAGTTTTAAAATCTAATGTAACAGCTGGGTGGAATGAAGGAGAGATTGATAACGGAAGCTTTGTTTAACCAATCAACTGAGAATGCATGCAATAGGAATGACTGAACACCTGTCCGCACAGATATCTGGAAAATTCTACTACCCCAATGACGACAAATAGGAGAAGACGAAGAAAACTATAAAATTCAAGTTTCAAAGTTGTGTGATTACAATTCATGATATGATTATGAAGAAAAATAAATTTTGTTCGAAAAGTCATCCAGTAAATAATACTGTTTCACTGACTATGTGATACATCTAATAAACAAACTAATATGGAATAATGATAACAATTTAAAAATCAAAAATGACAGCTGCTAAATAAAATAACAATGTCTTTCATCCGAACGTGAAATAAGCTCAATAGTTTCATTTCATCATTGATAACACTTTTACATTTGAGGCATCAACCACAAGCAATGTATCACGTGAAGCAATATTTGTCATTTCAGGCCTAAATTTTATCCTCAACTTTCTGTAAAAGAAAACAAAGTTGATCATACAATGAATCAAAGTCGAACGCCTAAGGGGCAACAAACTACACGCATTCACCTGCCATTTTGTCTTTCTTCACTCAATAGACAATAATAATAATAATACTTCCTATTTGGAGCAATTATGAATGCAACAGAAGACTGAATGTAAACAGTACATTTCACGATAACTAACTGTGTTGACTACTTCACATATTTGAGAGGTTGCAGCATCAGTCGCTGACGAAATCTCAAAACCAATACATCGGGCGCATTTGCCAACTTACGACATCTCTGACTTAGTAGATGGGATAACCAGCTATCGATCAAAGGAATGACTGTACTGTACTGCTCTCAGCAGCAGTTCACTTCATCCTCCTTTATGACTGCCAGTGAGACATGGTCATTGAAAGTGGGAAACATGAAAAGGCTAGCTGTCTGAAATTCTAAGTGTCTGCGTCTTATACCCCTTGTAAGATGGTATGGTATGGTCAGTTACTTCGAGGTTAGGCGTCGAGTTCTAGAAAAAGAAAGGAAGTGAATCGATGAAGTTATGAAGCTACACTGACTGAGATGGTTAGGATGTGTTGAGCACGTCAAACCGCTGCCTTCATCGACAAGCAACGTTAGCCACTATAGGTTAAGGCTGGAAAGAGTTGAGGATTATTATTATTCCTATTGTTTCCTCGGGTTCCTAGTGGAACTCTGGTTGTTAACAGCATATCTTCACTTTTTCCTGTTTTCTCTGAAGTTCTCTTTAGCTGGTCCTATGATTACCGTATAAGCCTTCATCTCCTCTTCACAAGGCCTCTTCTATGTAACCCTCGTACGTCGAACGCGTTACAATCGAGTGATGGATGATGTGGTGCGCGATGTCGCTTAATGGTACCCTTCTGTGTGTCTCCCTGATATCTGACGAAATCTGAGCACAGATACAGAAGGATCGGTTCACATATGCCTGTTTACACCGTCTCTAGCATAGACGCGATATACAGCTGATTATCGACCAAAAGGGCGGGTCTACTGCCCAGCAGTCCACTCCATCCTCCTTTATGGCCAGCTGTGAGACTTGGCCATTGAGAGTGAAAGACATGAAAAGATTAGCTGTCTTTGATTATGGGTGCCTGCGCACTATGTCCCGTGTAAAGTGGTAGGTGTAAGAGGGTGAGGAATATTGAGTTTAGGTGTGGGTCGAGTGGTAGGTAGGTAGGAGGGGAAATCAATCAACGAGGCTGTGAAATTACATCGACTGAGATGATTAGGACATGTGTTACGCATGCATGCCTTGTCATCGCCTTCCTCGACAGGCAATGTTAGTTGACATTGGATCAGGCTGGAAAAGAGCTAGCGGCAGTCAAACCAAAACATGGCTTCATCAGTGAATGAAATCCACAACAGTTAGTTTAAACCAAGCAGCTACGTAGGTAGGTGTAGACTTCCTGTTTGGCTGGTTGGGATCCTCGGGACGGTAAACACCATTGCAGGCTGGAGGCAATCGGTGATATGGTTCAAAATCGTTGTCAATGGCTAGCATCCACTCCTTGTGGCTTATGATTTCCAATTAAAACTATGTTGTCCTTCGTTATAACTATTCTCTTTTCTCACACCTCTGTTAACCCTGTCTATTTTGCATTTCATCTACTTTCTTCTCTTGCTACGTGGATGGAGTGCGGCGACTTGAACTGGTGCACATCGGTGCAAAGTTCTATGCCGGAAACAAACAGTCGTGAATTGGCAGAAGTTAGAATTCAAGGACCATTGGATCGGGTCCCGATGGCTTAATGGTATACGAGCTCGCCTTGTAATCGGAAGGTCCTGGGTTCGAATCCCGGTGGGTGCGTACTGCTGAAGAGTTCCAGACTAGGACGAAACAGCTGGCTGTCCAGTACTCCCAGGTTTTCCAATGATTCTCTAACTAATATCAGCTCATGATGAAATCGTCAAACCAATCAAATCCCTACAAACCAACACTTGAAAACAGACATATTTTCATAGGTTGCAAGTCTTTCTCTTTTTTGTGTGGTACATAGTGTGTCAACTTGAACTACTACACTGTTTTTGCCAAGTTCTATGCTGAGACAGTCAGTAAACTAAACCTCTAATCAAAACATATACCCATAGGAATAAATAAAACTTAAGAATTCAGTGGGATTAAACCGCACATCATATCAGATAGAGGGACACAATAGCGATATACGATTTAATAAACTTAAGCAACAAGTCATTCTGGATTGTATTTATTTTGACAGTCTATACATAATTCTGAAAAGAAATTATAATACATCCTGTAGAATGATGCGTAAATATTATTACTATTATTTAAACGCAGAAAAAACTTGGTACAGTATGACACCCAGAAAGATGAGCCGCACAATAATAATAATAATAATAAAAACAACATAGATTGAAAGTAAAAAAAAAATATAAGTAAAGAACGGATAAAGAACTTCATCTGGAAGGAAAACAGTCATTCTTGTCAAGTTCAAACAGTATTGGTCAACTGTCATCGGAAAGGGAAGAAAGAAGGAAATTGATCACGTTCGTCATTGATTACGGTTCTTGGCCATATTCGATAACGTTTCGAGCCATAGAGTCGAGCTATCTCTCGGATCCCAACCAGGGAGTCATGACGCACCAACCGATGCTAATCTAGCACAAATATCACTCATCTCACAACGCCACATAATGGACTTACCACCTCTCCGTCTTTTGCATCCCGTCCCAGAGACCTGTACGGAAGTCTCTGGGGTGATATTCGCAGCACATGTCAAAGCCACCGAAACCGGTGTTTCCAGATGACGACACACAACAAATAGTGATCTCTGCTGTGTTCAAACGCCTTAAAATTACTCACACGATGACGCCATCGAACGCAAGCGATCCTGCGGAGACAGCGGTGATCGAACACACAGAGTCGCCGCACATCCTCAGCCTACTCGGAGAGGCCAGGTTTTATAGGTGTAGAGCAAGACAGTTCGCACCAAAGCATTGTATGCCCAACTTTTGACAGCCAGGCTAACGTCGCGATAGCGCCAGAGGTGGCTCAAGTTGATGTATGCCATCCTAGCTTTCATTATACGGTTGGAAATCTCATCCGTCACCCATTCCTCAGCACTCACACAAATACCCAGATACACAAACTTATCAACAACTTCAAGCGGTTCTTCTGCAAGAGTGAATGCAGGCTCCTGTCAATCTTGTAACAGCACTTTGCACTTAGACGGTACAAAGCACATACCATACTTACAGACACTGATCGCCAACTGATTATGTGCGATTTGGGCGCACAGTAAGATGATATCGTCTGCATACTCGAGGTCGAAAAGCCTATTCTCCAGGGAGCAGATCTACACCTTCATGCACATCTTTCAAAGCTGACTCCAGAATGTCACAGATGACAAAATTTAAGAGAAATAGGGAGATCGACAAACCCTGTCTAACCCCACTGTTGGTTGGGAACAGTGATAATAGTTGGTTGTATGCTTTCAAGATATTAACAAACTCAGATACACCCCTTTCCTCTAACAGACGACAATTCCACACCACAGTTCTGTCTAACGAATAGAAGGGAGCGCTAATATCAAAGCACAACGGTTGTTGGTGGCGTTCCAGTAACTGACGAAGGTTGAACACATGATCAATGCATCCACGAGATGAACGAAAGCACAACATAAGAAGCAAGACAGCAGCCAATTTTTATTTTTGATTACAGCTTGACTCCACACTGTATTTTTGGTACAAGTATGGAATTTTCAGCGTGGATATCGGTAGCCCAAAATTCGCAGGCCGACCATAGATATCAGGTGTGCGTCGGCGAGGGCTCGAACCTCGGACCATGTGCATGGTCGGCGAGAGTCCTAACCACTGTGCCACCGACGCACAGATAGATACAACTGGTAGCAGACTGATACCCCTATGATTGTCACATGAATTACATCGACGTTGACGACAATGGCTTCTTTCCACACTGATGGTACACTCTCAGCCTCCTATACCTTCTTGAATAAACCACTTAGAGCCAATACGAGAATCTCGTACGCAGATGCGTAAATAAACCACCAGTTAGAAAAAGAGGCTCAAATTTTAACTGACTGATTTGTCTGTCTGTTTTAGACATAGAACTTTGCACATATGTGCGGCAGTTCAAGTCGCCACATACCATCCACGTAGCACACAAAGCAAGAGAAGAATGTAGGAGAAATGCAAAAGAGAAACAGTAAACAGAGGTGTGAGACAAAGGAAGAGTAATAACGAAGAACAATATAGTTTCATTGGAAATCATAAGTCACAAGGAGTGGATGCATCTGCGCCAGCCATTGAGAACGAACAAAAACAGGCCGCGTGTAACCAGCCTCAAGCAGCTGTCACCTGGGCTTTGCGGTCACGCAACCAACTTCCACGGTGTGGGCAGCCGGGAAGTAACAATCTCCCTCACAATCCGACATACACATGGAACCTCTCTAATACTCACTCACCTTTGTCTTTATCTTCATCTCTACTATCAACTGATGCAACTCTTTTACTTGATGGCTCTTCACTTCCTCTTCACTCTGTGTCTACTAAAAACGACGGAAGACAAACATTTAATACCGATAGTCTCCTAAAGCCACGCCACTGACTAATGTAGTTAAAAAAAAAGTTACAGTTCCTCTCAATGGGATACACTACTACTACCAAGTGGGTAATCAGTACACCTACTTAACTTCTTAAGGAAAGTCAATTATTTCTCTCATATCTGACTACGGTTCATTCATACATATACGACTAAGGGTTTTTTTTTCAACAGTTGATACTTCTTCAGTATTACACGAAACGTAAAATTTTCAGAAACGTTTAAACTATATACATATACTCAAAAGTATTCCTTATCACAAGAAAAACCGCTTACATTTTATCTTGGCGAAGTAAGTCATCTACAAGTTGAACTATTTTCCGATAATTATCTATTATAGGAGGACACTTAGGTCTTTCAGGTAGTGGGATACCAGTACGTAAAAGTTGTTTTTCAATCAATTTAATATCAGTTAAGGATCTTTCGAAAAGAACTAGATTGTGCTCTTCTTCCAAGACTAACTGGTAAGCTATTTGTAAGACTTGAGGGTAAGACAATTTGTCGACAGACTTAGGACCGCTTAATTGATCAAGAAGATGCATATCATCTGAGGAAATGTTACATCGAATCAATTCATAGATAACAGCAAGCTCTCGTCGACGACTACGTTCTTGTTCATTGTGTTCATCTCTAGCCCGTTTATCTGTACGACCACATCCGGTATCTTTTGACTCTTTCGTTGAACGGGATGATTTTTGAGGCGAAGAGATAAGTAAACTTCGTGAATACTTGGTAAAATAAATAGGATCATCGTCTGAATCATAATCTTGAAAGGTAGGAGTCTGAAGTAGTTGTATGCCTAGTTTGCGACGTTCCAATCGAGGAAAGTGCTGTTTACGATGTCGATGTGTTGTTTGACTAGACATTGTGAACTAGAAAAGAACAGAGTGTTAATCAATAAGAAGTTAAAAAACACACTTTAATTAACATTAAAAGATGAACAATTATTTTTATTTTACTTGAAAATTACAACACCACTTGTCGGTGGTGTTTTATCTGACATGACTAAAAATTGAAGATACTTTATTCTGGACAAAATGTCTGCATAATATATTTCTCCTAAACCAGGATCATCTTTAAGTAAGATGAAAGTAGCCTACAGTTCACCACATGATGCAATTGCTGTTTTCGATTTGAAGCATAGACTATAAGTCCATCATGATACATTTCCTTGATCTCTGAGAAATGAGCTGTGATGACTCAATGGTTTAGGCGCTCAATCTTCAATCAATGTGTCACGGATTCGAACCTCTTGTCAACTATCCAAAGTATCATTAACCCTCACACAATAGAGATATGGCTGATCGACAACTTCATGGAATTGCGAGTGGTGGTTAACCAACAAGTAAACGCCTCTCGAACTAACTAACTAACTAACTGAAAACTATTCATAGTACTACAACACTTGTTGAGAGGGGACAATTAACTGTCCTAATTAAGAACATGATTATGCACTGTGGTAGAATGTAATTCCATTATGGGAAAAATTTGTCTTGATAAAGTCTCACAGTGGTGTTATACAGTAATGTTTACTGATGATACCGTTTCGAGCACAACTTATAGTTGCTCATAATCATATCAAGGCATTACTCACACAACTTTCTAACTTCATTTATATAATTCCACTATTTTTTTATCGCTTGATTTGATTGGTAGTAGCAATTTCCATATTTCCGGTATGAGTGATGTGTTATTCCTATTGCATGTGTTGTGTTGGGTGTAGAGTCAATGAACGAGGATTCAGTAATCAACCTCTCTCCCTCTTCACCTACCTAGATTACTTTTTAGAATTTTAACCCTCTCCCATTCTATTGTGTGTGCGCAGTGAGATTGTGACCGGAAGTCAAGCGATGAAAAATAATGATGATGGAATTATATAAACGAAGTTAGAAAGTTGTGTGAGTAATGCCTTGATATGATTATGAGCAACAATAAATTGTCCTTGAAACTTGGTCGTCAGTAAATATTACTGTAAAACACCACCGTGAGACTTTATTAAAACAAATTTTACCCATAATGGGGTTAAAAGTCACTTCATATAAGAGTGTATTTATTGATAAACAATTTACTTCTGTTACTGCACCGTCAATCATTTCTTCACAACCGTTAAACATACTTTAAAATTCGTTATACCCTTCATTTTTTGGGTATAAGTTTTAGATTATTGTGAAGCTTTAAAGTTTAAAAGATTGACAAGTCTGTAATAACTACGAACAAATAGGCGACCAAAGGGCGGGTGTACTGCTCATCAGTCCGCTCCGTCCTCCTTTATGGTTGTGAGACCTGGCCAGTGAGAGTGGAAGACATGAAAAGATTAACTGTCTTTGATCAAAGGTGCCTGCGCCCTATTTCCCGTGTAAAGTGGCATAATAAGGTGAGCAATATTGGGGTTAGGCGTCAAGTTCTAGGTAAACAGGGGAAATCAATCGACGAAGTTGTGGTGAAGTTACAAAGACTGAGATGGTTAGGACATGTGTTACGTATGCCAAACCATCGCCTCCTTCGACGAGCAATGTTAGCGGATATAGGGTCAGGCTGGAAAAAAGCTGGCAGCGGTCAAACAAAAACTTGGCACCAGTCAATGAAACCCACAACAGTTGGTCTAAGCCACGTAGGAAGGTGTAGACTTCCAGGCTGGGGTCCTCGGGACGGTAAAAACCAATGAAGGCTGGAAACAATTGGTGATATGACTCAAGATCATCGTTCTCAATGACTGGTGTAGATGCATCCACTCCTTGCGACTTATGATCTCCAATGAAACTTTTTTGTTCTATTTTATTACTTTTCCTTTGTCTCACACCTCTGTTTACTGTCTCTATTATGCATTTCTTATACTTTCGTTTCTTGGTTTGTGTGCTACATGGAGGGAGTGTGGCGGCTTGAACTGCCGCACATATGTGCAAAGTTCTAAGTCGAAGATAGACAGACAGAGACAAAAGAATAGTAATAACGAAGGACAATATAGTTTTAATTGGAAATCAAAAGTCACAAGGAGTGGATACATCTACACCAGTCATTGACAATGATTTTGTGCCATGTCACCGATTGTCTCCAGCCTTCATTGGTTTTTACCGTCCCGATGACCCCAACCAGGAAGCCAGTTTACATCTTCCTACGTGGCTTAGACCAACTGTTGTAGATTTCACTGACTGGTGTCATGTTTTTGTTTGACCTCCGCTAGCTCTTTTCTAGCCTGACTATATATCGGCTAACATTAGCAGTCGAGGAAGGCGACGACTAGGCATACGTAACACATGTTCAATAATGAACTGGGAAACAAACTATTTATGTTTAAACCAAGTTCACTTTTTTTATATTTTTCATTACAGCTTGATTCCACACTGTATTTCAGCTACAAGTATGGAATTTTCAGCATGAATATCGGTAGGCCAAATTTTGCAGGCCGACCATAGATATCAGGTGTGCGTCGGCAGGGGATCGAACCTCGGACCATGTGCATGGTCGACGAGAGTCCTAACCACTGTGCCACCGACGCACTTTTAACAGTTTGAAAAAATTTGGGCACTGTGTGTTTATGATATTCATTATAATAAAGGCTTTTGAATTTCTCAATGAATGAAAAACAAAACGATAAGTAAAAACAATATCGTTTTGTTTCTCATTCATTGGGAAATACAAAAACCATTATCATAATAGGAAACATATTAATGAATGTTTGTGGAGACACTTTTAACAGAAAGAATGAATATGTGTAGCAATTATATTTGTATAAATCTCAGCAAAAATTTAAATAAATAGTTGCTGATGTTCATAAAATACATCACCTAAATATTAAAAAAAACAACAAATAAACTGGAATAGATGGTTGGTCAGCCAAGTTTACACAAAAAAGGAGTCAGTAATTTTAGAATAACCACAGTAGGATCTGTTAGATTAATATAGTACTTGAGATCCTCAATTCCATTATCGTATGTAGACTGAGAGGGAATACGGAAAAAACAAACTCGAGGAGTGTAGGTAGGTTCAAAGACCATGTGAGAATACATTTACTGGGTATTCACTCTTTGGCAGATTATGAAACACAAGCTTTTGACTAATGTCATTTATTTTGGAACGAAAAATAATGTTTAACTTCGTAGGCTGAGGTTTTTCCTGGCGACATCTCAATACATTGGAAGTACCGGGTACGCATACTGTATAGAACTTTGTACAGAAGTTCCACTGATTAAGTTGTCACCCTTCAAAAATGCATAAACACAGAGAAAGCAGACACCATAATGAACCGAAAGTGGATAGTTATGAATACATCACCAGTGATAGTGATTTCGACGCATGTCACCAGCAGTCTCCAGCCAAGCGTTCTCAGCATTCTGACAACTTCAGGCAGGCAGCCTGAAACCCCCTGCATGATGTAAACCAATAATCAAGGATTTGTGAATTGACGCAGTTTTCGATTAAGAAAGGAAGACGAAGTTGGCAGTGAAAAATGATATCATTCTACTTCACAGGCTCTCATCAGCTGTAGACTACCTGAAATTACAATGGTTATATAGTTGATAATAACATACTTTAATGTTTGAGTGGTAGTAGAGAAGAGATACGCATCCAAAATGAAAGCATTACAATTATTTAATTTGATTTTTCATCATCAATTTATGCGCTTCCCCCCCCCTCTTTTAAACTTCAAGTTTTGGATGAGTATCTCTACTCTACTAACACACAAACATTAAAGTATGTTATTATCAACTATATAACTATTGTAATTTCAGGTAGTCCGCAGTTGATGAGGACCTGTGAAATAGGAATGTTTCGTAGCACTTAATCGATGCAGCCTAACGACTTCATCGACTGACCTCTTCAACCTACGTAACTCCACTTCAACCTAATCGGTGAGTTTACCATATTGTAACACAAAACACACCATGATACCAAGCAACATGAGAAATTGAATGCAGACATCTATGGTCAAACATCTTTTCATATTTTCCATTCTCAGTAGCTATATCTCACAGCCATAAAAAGGGGACAGAGTGATTTGCTGTGCAGCGCATGTCCCTTGATAGATACCTGGTTATCACATCTGCTCCCCAAAATGTAGGTTGGAAAATGGTAGACGAGTCTTTTGTATCCGTTTTAAGATTGAGTCAGTAATCAATCGACTAATATTAATGCAAATTCCGAGTTGGCTGAAGTGGTCATTACACCCAACCATTTTACTTCCAAATTTTCAACTGGAAGTCAGTACAAACCAGTCATGTAGTCCTTTTATAAGAACACTAGCAGACCAGTTGCCAATCACACTACGATTTCATCTCGTGTTAGGATCGTATTTTGTCACTATCTTCATTCAGAAGGACTATATCATCTGGATACTATACACCGACATTTCATAGGTGACAAGTCAGCCAACTAAACAAAGACTAAGACGGTCACCTCCAATAGTAAATACATAATGATATTGGTTGTAGGATTTCATCATGAGCTGATATTGGTTTGAAAACCAATGGGAAACCAGGGAGTACTAGACAGCCAACTGTTTCTTCCTGGTTTGTGACTCTTCATCAGTACACATCCACCGGGTCTCGAACTAAAAATGGTGACATATGACATCCCTGACGGACACCACTAGTTATCTTGACCCTAAATGACAACTATTAAGTTCTTAAGCGTATGTTGATTCCGAACGGAGTGACTAAGCCAGTATATTATCCTTGTTGGCACACTTTATGACCGGAATCGGTCATAACACCTCTCGAATGATAATGTCGAGTAACACAGATGAATTGGTGACAACTAGTGGTGTTCGTCACGGATGCCAACCATCACTGTTGTCATTTGTGTTTGATTTCATCATAGATGTCCTAATGGACTTAACACTAACTTCAGAGACTCAGGGATTGACTTGTTACTTGTGCGTCAGTGGCACAGTGGTCAGGTTTCCCCCCGAGAATGCACATGGTCCGAGGTTCGATCTCCTGCCGACGCACACCTGATATCTATGGGCAACCGATATCCATGCTGAAAATTCCATACTTGTACCAAAATATAGTGTGGAATCAAGCTGTAATCAAAAAAAAACTTTTTTAAATACCACCAGGGAATAATAGTCTCGTTGACTTAAAAATATGCGGACGATATAGTTCTTTCTCCACGGTAAACACACTGACAGAATACAACATACTTCTGAACACTTTGAGCTACAATCTGAGAATGTACGGTATGCGATTTGCTCCCGCTAAACGTAAGATGATGCTATAAGTAAGTCTCCACTGACTCCTAGTTTAAGAAGTGTGTCGATTGCATGAAATTTACTTTGATGCAGGAGTGAAATTCGAACACCCACTTACTGAGTATTAACTCGACAGCATCTCGTGATATGCTCTTAAGTAACTGTAAGTGGCACAAATGCAATTTTCCGATAAATGGCAAAGAGTAAATTCTTCAGCACCAGCCACTGTGGGAACTAATTGTCTCCAGGCGCTATTGGTTTCTAACACTGCGAAGACTACAACCAGACAGTCAGTCCACAGCTCATTACGTGGCTAGCTGGCTCAAACTAACTATCACACATTTCATGAACTAATTCCACGTTTTCTTTTGGACAGACTACCTCCCTTCCAATCTGATCCTATGTCAGCAGTTAACATCGTTCGTAGTTGATGCCTAGACAGTAGTGGGCAACACATGTCCTAACCATGTTAACCGATGTAACTGCCTCAGAACCTCGTCGATTGACTTCTTTTCCTTACCTAGCACTCGATCAAACCATTTCGTCACTATTACCCACCATATTATGCCACCTGACGAACATGGGAGATAGAACGCTTGCACTTAATTTCAAATACAGCCAGCGAGGCTTTAAATGCGATCCACATTCAGTGGCCATGTCTCACTTACTGCCATAAAGGAGTACGAAGCAGTGTTGGTGAGCGATATGCCCATACATCCTTTGATCGATAACCAGCCAAACATCACGTCTATTAAATGAGAGGTGGTGTAAGTTGGCGAATGCCAAACTGAGATTTCTTCAACGATCAATCCACTGGGTTGGCTGATGTGACTTCCCAAATTAGTGAAGTGGTCAACACGCTCAGCCGCCACTTCACTCCTGTCTGTTTTCGACATAGAACTTTGCACAAATGTGCGGCAGTTCAAGTCGCCACATTCCGTGTAGCACGCGAAGCAAGAAAAGAAAGTACAAGAAAAGCATAATAGAAACAGTGAGCAGAGGTGTGAGACAAAGGAGCAATAAAGAAATACAAAACAGTTTCATTGGAGATCATAAGTCACAAGGAGTGGATGCATCTGCGCTAGCCATCACTGAGAACGATTTTGAGCCATGTCACCAATTGTTTCCAACCATAGATTTTTACCGTCCCGAGGACCCCAGCCTGGAAGTCTACACCTTTCTACGTGGCTTAGACCAACTGTTGTGGATTTCATTGACTGGTGAGGCCAAGTTTTTGTTTGACCGCCGCTAGCTTTTTTCCAGCCTGACCCTATATCCGCTAACATTGCTCGTCGAAGGAGGCGATGGTTTGGCATACGTAACACATGTCCTAACCATCTCAGTCATTGTAACTTCACCACAACTTCGTCGATTGATTTCCCCTGTTTACCTAGAACTTGACGCCTAACCCCAATATTGCTCACCTTATTATGCCACTTTACACGGGAAATAGGGCGCAGGCACCTTTGATCAAAGACAGTTAATCTTTTCATGTCTTCCACTCTCAGTGGCCAGGTCTCACAACCATAAAGGAGGACGGAGCGGACTGATGAGCAGTACACCCGCCCTTTGGTCGATAGTCGAACATCTCGTCTACGCCAGAGTCGGCGTAAACTAACTTCACTCCTGCCTATCTCTAAGCTAGATGTGAGATGATGTAGTCCATTCCTGTAGCATCATCATCTTACATTTGACGACAGGAGCGAATCGCATGTCAAACATTATCAGACTGCGTCTCAGGATGTTCAGAAGACTCTGCTATATTATGTCAGCATCTTCACCTAGGAGAGAGGAACATATCATCTATATATTCTAAGTCAACGAGACTATTATTTTCTGGTGGTAACAAGTCAACCCTCGAGTCACTGAATTGAGTTAGGGTTAAGTCAATTAGTACATCCATGATGAAATTAAACATAAATAGGGACAGTGGTGGTGGGCATCAGTAACGAACACCACTGATTGTCACCAATTCAGATAACAATTCCCCGTAGTCTCTCATCTGGCTGACTGCATGACTTCAGGTACAGTGAGTGTCTTGATCAGTGCGATGTATTTTCTTGGCGACGAAATCAAATTCCGCTTCCAGTTCAAGAAGTGTGACGACTGCTACACGTCGGTAAGTAGGCCTATGTTCTAGAATCTGGTAAATGATGAAGATATGATGCTTTGTTAGATATCGTAAATCTTCACTAGACATTCAACCAAATGTCACCTTATGAGTTTCGTTCTTGGATTATTTTAACTATGCAGTCTGATTGAGAAATGGAGCTTTCATCGTACTTTTGAGGTGAGGAGAATAAATTCACCAAATAATTGGTTAGAATTTACTAGAAATCAGTGTAACTGATGGTCGTTAAACATTCGGCTTGAATACTTTTCGCCTAGTTTTGCTTATTTATTAACGTGACTGTAACCAAATGAATGTTACTATTTATTTTACATGTTGTGATTACATATCCCTTGGTCAGTCTGTCTGTCTCATTCTAAATAAATCCTTCAATATACTTGAATGCATTTTTGAAATATTCTGCATTAACTTATAAAAAATTTCATGTACATTTTTACAGGTTAATCTTAGAAGTGTGTCAGTCTGTTCGACTTAGAACAATAGAATTGGCAAATTTTGAATTATTTTCATCTCGACTGAAGTCGTTCAGAGTTTGTGCTAGTGATCGGTAAACCAATTTCTGAATTAAAATAAATGTCAAATAATTTTTATTATACCGTTTCTTTAAGAATACTCTTCTGCTTTTTTAAGTGTCATTATGAGTGACTACAAACTGATATGGATTTTTTTATTTTTTTCTTGGTTACAGCTTGATTCCACACCGTATTTTTCGGTATAGTTATTGGAAATTTCAGCATGTGATATCGGTAGCCCAAATTTTACAGGCCGGCCATAGATATCAGGTGTGTGTCGGCAGGGGATTGAACCATTTAATTCTTTGTTTTTTTTTCTAAACTGTATCTTGCTACACTAGACGACGAGTTTTAATATTCAATAACTTTCTTCCTGTTATCATTCATGTTACTGTAATGATCAAAGGGGGGAGGGTGATGTATTTCGTTCGATGTGATAATTCTTTAGTAGAAATGAAGACAGATATCACTCTTTTGTATGTATAGATTAGTCTGGCAGTTTCAATGAATATGCGACCTGTTTCTACAGCAATCTAGCGAATACAAATTTACAAGAATATTTAATAAAAATCTAGCATTTTCGCTTATGCATGAGATGCTAAGTGGAGGGTAGCTACAGGAAAAAATAACGAATTACAACCTACATATATGTATATAGGTGCGTGTTTGGCAGGGGAAACCATTGGTTATACTTATGTTAGCCCAAGCTAAGCATTCAATATACTTCAAATTTTGAGAAAGAGCCTGACAAAGAGCGAGGGAATGATAGCAAATCGGCGTTTTTCATGAATGCCCTGTAATCACCAAACAATTTCCCTTAGAATTAACCACAAGTTTATTTAAATTTACCATGTACTACGTAATTTAGACTTATTAATACTATACACATAACAAGCCAAAGGTCGAACTGTGATGCGACTTACAAAAAATTACATGAGTCAATCGTTTAATACAGTTGAAAATATTAAAAGGAATGAGACATTAAGAAAATTTAGTTCTTACAAATTCATAAGTACCGCAAAACGTGTTTGACTTAAAAAGACCGGTCGTAACGCAGTTAGGACGACATGTCCAATACTGTTGGTCGAAATTGAAGTAGGGATGACCTGTCAAAAACTTAAACTTTGCTCCTCATTTAGTAGCACAAAGAAATATACATTATAGGCAGTACCTTAGGAGGAAAAAAGAGATTAAATTATTTCTAAAACTTTTGAGGCTAGCTGGACAGAAGTAACATCATTTTTCTTCCAAGTTAACAAAATAAGTTTAAAGAATAGACATTATGGACTAGTTTTCTATATTTTCCGTTTCTTTCTCAACCTTACGATCACTCCCACGTATTTTGTTGGGAATAATAGAACATTTGCAGTACACTCTACATTGGAACAAAGCAAACCTGAAGTTTAAATGAGTATTTCAAACTGAAAAAAACTTAACATTAAATAAATAAACATCCAGCAAGTCAATAGGTTCTTCATGCGTTGAGAGTTTATGTAGGCCACTTCTCGTAAACCGTCAATGCCCAGCTCTTGCTACGCTGGGACTCACGCTGTTCCTTGAAGTTTCTCAGAAACGCTTTGCAATAACGGACGCAAAAACCAAAACACCGATTGGCGACTCGAGAATTCTTTACTGTAACACCAACATATAGACAACTCTGAAACTAAGCTTTAAAACTAAGGTTTCTGACGGTTTTCTCCTCACTTCTTTCTGAACAGCGACCGATGAGACGATGATTGATGTATTGATGCCTGCGCGAAAATTGGGGAAGTTGGTTTTGAGCAAGCAACCATGAATTGATCGTTCAATCTTCAACTACATTGACAGTTTACTTTTAAAGAGTGGGTATCATATCGGTCTTGGGCTCTATTTAATGCCTTTGCCTCAAGCTGTATACCTGCGCGTTCACAGCGTTTTAAAGACTGAAATTTTTAACTTTCATGTATAGTACGACTTACACTAGGCAATAGGTACGTTCGAATCAGGTGACGTTTTTGCACGTGTTTTCGTTTATATTCATTTATTGGTTACTAATAATTGATCTTTAATAACGATGGTTCAAAATTCTAAAAAGCGTGTTCGTGTGAACACCACTAATTTAGAAAATAGCACCAGCTCGTCTAATAACACATTACCACCCCATATTATTAGTAGTTCACCCAACATAAAAGCCTCGAACATAACTCTGACCCCTGTAATACAGGTGGAAGATGTTCTGTCTGAAAAAGTAGAGCTCTCTTACTTAACGTGCGTAATTAAAGAGATGCAGCTACAGATAGATGAATTAAAAACGAAATTAAGTTCACTAGAATGTATACCCGAAACTATCTCACGTATGAAAAAGGAAATGCAGGATCCTACAATCCTAAAGCTTTTTAATATGACCTCTAGAATGACTCATACTGACTCAGAAAGTGCGAAGGAGTTAGAAAACGCCATCGACTTTCTATCCAGCGAAGTTGTTAGAAGGCTGGCTTCAAAACAAAACGCAATAGTGTATAATGTACCGGATAGCGAGCCCATAAAGTCAGTCCAGCACTCATTGCTGAAGGCTGCAAATCTCTTGAATGCACCTTGTCAGTGCATTCGCCTAAGCAAAAAAGACCTAAAGCATCCTTGTCCTATACTCTTTAGGTTCGACAGCTACATAACAGCTGAACGATTTAAGATGGCCGAAGATCTTCTGGCTACTGCCACTAAATTCAAGACTATTAAAGTAGTCTCGGATAAAACACCAAACCAAAGGCAAGCAACCAAGAACTCCTTCGATACAAAGTTGACAACACTGAGAAATACATCTGGTATCAGTGCTAAAGTGTCGACGGACACTGAGGCACAGCAAGTCACGTGTATAGTGTTAGGAGAAAAAACGGCAAGTAAGAGCGACCCAAAACTCAGTAAGAGCAGTGCCACTGGGTGCAATCTTAGAGTGCACGAGAGCACATCTCGAAAACCTGCTGACCTACATAAGGTTGACATAGACGCACAAACTATGGCTGACCAGAAACTACTGGCAGACCACTCTCAATCTGGATCCAAGCCAGAGAGTCCCTCAGTAGAAACCGCAAAAAAGACCACAAAACCCAGAGTCCCACCCCAGACTTCGACATACCTCCCTCGTAATAAGTCTAATAAGCAGCGTGTCAGTCTAAAAAATGACAAAGCATGGGTAACGAAGCACATTCCCAAAGACGTCACGCAGCATGTGAGAAGGAATACCCCTTCCCGAACTAGAAGTAACATGCCTAACAACGCACATAACTTGGGAATGCAACGTAGAATGGATCCTCAGGATATATGGAGCACTAAACGGGACTCATATAGGCACCATATTAACGAAAATCCTCGTCCAAACTCTCGCACTATCTATGTTAAACCTCATCAACTTAATGAGAACAGGTCGACACTTGATCCCCTCAATAACTTCACTCACACACGTGACGTGAGCCAATATGCATATGGCTATGAAAGCCCCATGAGGTACAACTACCAGGGTAATCTTAACACAGGGTACCTAGGTCCAGCAAACTACAACCCAAATTGCAGGGCAGACCATATATCACCAGTAGATGAACGCAGATGCCGACCCATGGATGCTAATAGTCAAAATATGCAACAGGATTATTTTCGGCTGCAGCAAACAATAGCCCCACTCGCTGCACAGTTCATCCAGGAAATAGTACACACACTGACTCTGTCTCACCTCAGAGCCCCTCCAAACATAACGTAGGGATAGTGACAAGTAACCATGTTAACCTCTCCTCCAATAACTCTGGTTTACTAACAATTATGCTCCTGAATGCTAGATCTCTCCTTAATAAAATAACAACGCTTCGCTGCCTGGCATACATAGAACGGCCAACACTAATAATGGTGACTGAAACCTGGCTTACTACTGATATACCTGACACAAAGCTGGTAATAGACAACTACGACATCTATAGGAACGATAGAGTTGACAAAAGAGGAGGCGGTTGCTTAATATATGCCTATAAATCCACTAACTCCAATACTTTCAATAACCCAAATACTGACAAACTCCCAGAATCTAAGTGGATAAGCATCCACACAAACGAAAGTAAAATTCTCGTGGGATGTATATACAGACCCCCCAATAGCCCTGAAATGACTGATATAACTATTGGAGAAATACTAGAGCATGTAGCTACGCTGGACTTCGACTACAAAGTAGTATGTGGAGATTTCAACTTACCTGGAGTAAACTGGGATACCTGTACAGGACCAAGAATCCATGAAGAGCTACTACAAGCTATAGACATAGGAGGATGGAAGCAGTGCGTGCGCCTCCCTACAAGGAACCAAAATACTCTTGACTTAATCCTCTGTCATAACATAGAGCCCATCTCGATAGAGGTGGGAAATAAACTCGATAACAGTGATCACAACATATTGTACTGCACGCTCCCCCTCCGACTAACAACTAAATACACACCTAAAAATTCCCCGGTGCGCTATCAATATAGGGACTATAAGAATGCTGATTGGGAATTCCTATCAGATCTGTTGAGAAGTTCTGACTGGGAAGAATACTTCATCAACAATAACTTAGAAGTATCACTTGAGATTTTCTACAAAACAGTTGGCTCAGCAAGAGACACAATCGCGCCCCTAAAATCTGCCCTAAAGACACCAACTCCATTTATTGACCGGAAAACGCGACTAAAACTAAAGAAATTGAAAAGGAAATACCATGTATTTAAGGAATTTAATGCGTTAAACCAAATACATGAAACTCTTAAACTGCTTGAAGAGAAACACAAAATGAAGTCACAACATGAGGAAAATAAAGCGCTAATGGGTAACACCAAAACTCAGGAACTTTGTAGGATATTGCAAAAACGTCTAAAAAGCAGTAAAGACAATAATGTAAGCATCTTGGAACATAGGGGTGTAATATACAACGATCCCCAGGTTATAAGTGAACTCCTCAGTGAGTGGTTTTGCAATGACACCAGAGTGCACCCGACCCCAAATTTCCAAATGACCTGCAAAAGTAACCACAAATTAGGAGAAATAGATTTTAATATACAAAATATAGACTCAGCGATTAAGACATTGAAGTCAAATGGCAGTACTGGAACAGACGACATACCATCTGTCATATACAAAAATGGTAGCACGGAAATGGTAGTCTTGTTACTTAGAATATTTACTCTGTCACTGGAAACTGGAACTTATCCTGAAGTGTGGAAAACCACATACATATTACCTAAGCACAAAGCAGGGGCCAAAACCAGTGCATGCAACTATAGACCTATTAATATAACACCGGTAATATCACGAATAATGGAGAAAGTGGTTAAAGACCAAGTGTCAGACAACTTACTAGAACATGAACTTATCAACCCATCACAACACGGATTCCTCAAAAAGAGATCATGTGCGACCTGTCACATAGACTTTTTCAATGAAGTTACACGAAGCAGGGACAACAGAGAACTAGTAATTGTGCTATATTTCGATATAACAAAAGCCTTCGATAGAGTCCCCCATAATCTGCTAGTCAGCAGGTTATGCTCACTAGGGATATGTGACCCTCTCCTGAGCTGGATAAAATCATTTCTCTGTGACAGGAATCAGATAACAAAAGTTGGCTCGATAATCTCAAGGCCTAAACCTGTAAGTAGTGGTGTAATCCAGGGAAGTGTATTAGGCCCACTCCTATTCATAATATATATAAACAGTATCTGTGAATGCTTTAGTGTTGGTAAACCAATACTATATGCAGATGACTTAAAAGTGACCTATAAATGCAAGAACACAGATCTCGGAATAACAGTAAACGCCATACAGCAAGAATTAGAAAAAATGGATAGATGGTGTGACACCTGGCAACTCCAGTTTAATGTCGACAAATGTGGCTGGCTCTGCATAGGTTGCAACAATTTAGAACTTGACCTGACAATTCAAGGCCATGCACTCTTACGACTGGAATCTGTATTGGACCTAGGACTGAAATACTCACATGACTTATCATTTTCTGAACATATCTCCAAACAAGTGTCAAAGTCACGCAGACTTATCGGCTTTCTACTCAGGAACTTTTACAGAAATGAGTCCAGAATTCTGTTGTACAAGGTTTGTGTGCGTCCTTTATTTGATTACTGTTCATTCATGTATAGTAGTATACGCATAGAGGACAAATTGAAAGTCGAGGGAGTGCAGAGGTACTTCACGTCAAAATTACTCGGAACCGAAAATGGTGCGAACTACTCCACTAGATGTGACACCCTAGGATTAGAAACACTATGGCTAAGACGCCTGAGACTAAACTTAACACTTTACTATAAGCTTCTAAACCACTTAGTTTTTACCTCTACTAATGGCATTCGACTTTCAGATGACAGTGGCTACAAACTAAGACACACTAAGGGTACAGTAGCTATCGAACAATGTAAAACAGCTACCAGGCAAAAGTTTTATTTGATTAGGTATGCACAGATATGGAATAAACTACCAATGGAAATGCGTCAAGCAGGTACATTGGCCTCATTCAAAAAAGTGCTTAACGACAAACTACAAGAGTTTGCAAACGATAGTTGTTGCAAAATACTTACTTTTGCTTTCATCGAATGAAGGCACATCGGCTGACTGGCTTCCCGAAGGCTTTCACCAGCCTGCGTCATTTCACTTCCCCGTTTCCAGCGAAAAGCAAGGCTATTGCTTATATCTTTAGAAATTTTAATATATTTGCGCGTTGAAGTTTCTGTAGCGATTTGGTTGTTTTACGGGGGTGGAGTTGCTAGCACCACGCCCCAACCCTCCCCCTTTACCCGGGCTTGGGACCGGCTAGAAAACTAGGAAGCTATTAGCCGAGCAAGCTAGTAATCTGGCGAGGTTCTTTCCTAAATAACTAGATTTATTGGCTCTTTACAGGTAGTTATTGGGCTTTTATTGCTATAAAGGTAATATTCCACAGTAGGTATCCAAAATGCATCTCAGAGGAAGGTAATGAGTAATTGATGAAGCAGTTGTACGATATAGGACCAGCAATGCTTGCAGATCATTTGTGATTGTATGTCAATCACGTCTCATAAACCGTTAATGCCCAGCTCTCGCTACGCTCGGGTCCACGCTGTTCCTTGAAGTTTTCAAAAACGCTTAGTTATAACGGACGAAAAAACCAAAACACTGATCTACCGCTTGAGATTTCTTTATTGTTACACCAACATATAAAAAGAATAACTGAACTAATGTCTGTGAACAAATATTACAATAATAAATCATAAGATTACTTCTGACGATGTTTCACTCTTCTTTATGAACAGCGACCGATGAGACGATGACTGTCGTATTGATGCCTCCGCGAAAATTGGGGAAGTTGGTCTTGAGCAAACAACCAAGAATTGATCGTTCAATCTTCAACTCCATTGACAATAGTAGTCCTAGTTCCTACCTGAGAGCCTCCGAAATTATAGGTCCATTTAGTGTATAAGCTTGAATACTACACCTTTTGTTTTTTGCCTATATTTATAATTTTAGATAAAACATTAACGATTAAGATACTTACCCTCAAACAGACAAGAAGTTTCGTTTGTAAAACTTCTACCCAACACAATAAGTGGAATAAAACGGACATAAACCGACAACATGAAAAAGATATAACTCACCACAACATCACATAGACAGATGTACGCTCGTCGGGCATCATATATGCCTCACCAACTACAACCCAACATTCCTAAGATAATGTGATGAACTTATATCCGTAATGTTGCTGAGCAGTTAATATCCACAACTCCTATCGGAACAACTAAAATTCAAAAACCTTCCTCACGAGAAGTAAATACCCACAAGCAGTAGAAATCCGTTAATTAATGCGTCCAAAGCCTATGTATTTTGCTCCCAACAATGACATTGCAGATCAAATGAGATAAGCAAAACACTGATTTCCAAATAACAACAATGAACTATAATTCAAGAATTCTGTACACAGTAAAATTATGTATGAAAACTGATTTCAAGCTTTAATTTTTTTCCCAGGCACTTATAACCCATCCACCAAAGACCTGGGTTTTTTTGTTAATGCGAAGACAATACTTCTGTATTTCCTGATGTGTCGCACTCACTGACAATCTAGCGGATTTTTCCAACTATGCACAGAAATGATTGTACATAAGTGAAAAGGATGTTTTATACTATTCGGATTAACATTTATCAAGTGTATGTATAATCTCCAGTGTACATGTTAAACATATTCTGCTATCGACTGTAAATTGTGACTGAATAATATGGTCCTATTTCTGTAACAATTTGATAATGCTTGTAAACTGGCGTCCCTCATGTACTGCATCATGAGAATAAATTTATTTATTTATTTATTTAGATGTGATGCATTCGTTCCGCATAGACCAAAGTCGAAACAAAACGCCAGAATTATCATCCGAATAACGAATTATATTTCGGGATCGAACCAGAGTACGAGGTTACTGGTTTACTAACTAGGAATCGTGCACGGACGAGCATACACGACGGCGTGTCAAATGGTGGGGATGCTTGACCGTGTACTTTTAGACGAACAAATTGACGAAAACATTAATGGTCAGCTTCAAATGTTCAGTGATGAATGCAGTGGTCAATTTATTATTATTAATATTGTTCCCTTGGGTTCCTAGTGGACCACCCATCATCCTGGACATGTAATGTCTTCCTCTTCGTCTTCAGCTACTACACTGACACTGGCTTCTACTACAGCTAATGTCCCCACAAAAGGTGCAATCATTCCTACTGTTTCAGCTACTCCTAGCTCACTATTAGTTTCAAGTACTGGTGGTGTGGTGAGAGCAGGCTGCTGGCCAATTGGTAGACATTAATCCACGTCAATGTCTAGGTCACTAATATTGGCCGTGAGAAAATATGAACGAGGCTGATTCAACAACCAATCACAGCAGACTTAACGTGGGCAAATAAGATTCGCAGATGTATGGCTTAACTTTCCGAGAAACCCGAAACAACCAATCAGAAGACTGTGTTTGTCCGCTTGAATAAGCTATAATAATGTACATGAAATACATATAAATACGTGGTGATTTCAGTAATAAAACGATCTGTTGCCTGGCCCTTGTCTTCTGTTGTTACGGTGACAGTGATGGAGATCCAGTCTCTGTAAATTAATATCCTGGGGACCATTCAATTAACAGTGCTACGAATAGTGACTGGCGCCTGACTTCATCGTCTTCCAATTATGTTTCTACTCAGGGGAACATAAATCATGATGATCGGGAGGTGAAACCAAATGCCAGTTGTATCCATGGGTCTCGCACATCCAATTCAGTACCTTCAACATTCTCTGCTGTACCTACAACTACTGGTTCATCATTGGCTTCGTGTAGTAGTAAAGTCAAACAAACTGTTGCACACAACGCATATGTGAGAAGTGGTAGTACAACTACAAGCAGTACAACAACAAGCCAAAGTAGTTCTCTTGCGAATAATGTCTCAACTCCTCTGATCACATCCAAAGAGAAACCTGAAGCCATTGAAGGGTTTGTCGAAGCTGATACTTCTGATACTTCAAGCCTTGTCCGACGGAGTCCTTGACGAAGGGGTAACAATAATAATAATAGAACGTCGACTACCACAACTTCACATCGTTCGCGTAATCAAAACACTCGAGACTCATCACTTTTAGCCACCTTTTCAAAAGCAGCTTCAACAACTTCATCTCATTCCAATCCTGCAGCTACCCCATCAAGTTCCACTGTAAGCCCATAAAGTTTAACAGATCAGACTGTAAAATGTTCCAGTACAGACCTACGACTAGTGGTGGTAGTAGTAGTTGTAGTAGTAGTTCAACATTTAGTGGTGTTTCAAATTCTAGTGTTGTCCTTCGACAATTTGAAGCACACAAAGCTATTCTGGCTGCTAGAATCCTGGTGCCTGCTTCAATGTTTGAACATGGCATGGAAGAGTCTAGGGCTAATCGAGCTGAAATTACGGATATGGAACCAGATACTGTGTCTGAAGTTCCACGTTACATATATACTGGACAAGTTGTCGGTTTCGATCGATTGGCGTATGAATTACTAGCAGCTGCTGACAAGTATAAGTTGGAACGGCTTAAGACAATGTATGGAGAAGCGCTTGTAGAAAGTCTTTCAGTCGAGAATGCTTGTGACGCATATGGACTTCCTGATATCCACAATGCGGAACAGTTGAAAGCTCATATACTTGAGTTTACAATGCTACATGCTCATGATGTCTGTGAAACTGAAGGCTATGAACAACTGGTGCAATATCGTCCACGTCTGTTGAATGAGTGCCTTCGTAGTCTTACCTCACAACAGCTCCCTTTGAAATGTTGGGTACATCAAGGTCCTAGGCAATCTTGAACTTTGTGTGTGTGTACAATAACACCAGCAGAAAAAAGCATTATGCTTCATTATTCTCCCATCTCTCTCTCCTCATCGGCGTTGTCCACCATCACACATTTCCATTTGTATTAAAAAGTTCCTTCACTTCAGAAATCAGAGAAGTCACTGCGTTCTTTTGCGTGGGGGACACAGTAGGTAGAACTCCCGCCGACCATGCATATGATCGGAGGTTCTATCCCCTGCCGACACACACCTGATATCTATGGTCGGCCTTCAAAATTTGGGCTACCGAAATCCATGCTGAAAATTCCATACTTGTACCAAAAATACAGTGTGGAATCCAAAATAAGAAACAGAAATTAAAAACATTAAAAAGTAAAAAAATAAAAAAATACTCACTATCAGTTACCACTGCGACCGCTTGTCACTCATTCTGCCTCATTTCTAGTAACGGTGACGTATGCAAGCCTCAGTCGTCTACACTCCCGCTCCCCGGTGTGTGGGATCACAGCTAATCATTATCTCCGTATGCATGTCATTCTCAGCACTAGCCTAGCCTCCCCGGCACATGCGACCCATCTGCTGTTTTTAACATCAATCAATTCATTTACGGATGTAGAAGACTCGAAACAACTTCAGAAGTAATCACGACGAAAATTTCAACAAAATAATGCAATAACAACAAGGTACGAAAACAACAAGTAAACGCAGTGAATTCAAAAACACCAATTGACATGACACACCATGCATATATACAAACAGTACACACGAACTCGCAGATCATGTCTTGATGTAATTCCTTTGAAGAATTCCAGGACTTACACCAGTACGCCTACAACCATTCTCAGGTTAACGATTGTAAGTTGAAGAGTGTCCGGACATAAACAAGATTAACTAACAATTACATTAATTGGAACCCACTCAATTACTTAACGCAAACATATGTACAATCAATACATTAAAATGTTGTGGATTCTGTCTTGACGAGCTACCCTTGAAGAATTGCAAGACTTACATCGGTGCTCCTACAAATCTTCTCAGGTTGACACCCTAGGTTGGAAAATCGTCGCAGAGTTCATTTGCTGACCTCCTTCTATCATCTATATCCTCAACTCTGAACGGTGACACGCCCATGACATTGTATCGTAGGATATATATGACTAACAATCATACAACGTATGTGACCAACCAAGCGTACGCACAGAGTAATTTACACCAACGATAATTACACTCATGGTTGTAACTCGAAACCTGAACGACCTTAAACTCTCATACACAGTTGGCTTATCCTCACCAAACCGACCACAGACTTTCGTCCTTTCAAACTGACATAACATTAAACACATTAGTTCATGGACATCCCTTTCATTGTGGATGACAACAACAACGGCGACTGAGCAGTACAAGTTGATGAACTTAGTGGAGAATCAGAAGCTGTTGTTGTTCGGCTTTTAGAAATTTGTCTAACTGCAAGATTACCAACGCTGATGTCTTTTATTACTAGCTCCAGTTTAGCCTTAACATCTGTTGAAAGGTGGGCTACACGCTGATCATTAACACTGACGGTCTCATGAGTATCTATACCTTCTACCACCGCATCTGCCCTTAATTCTAATTCACGTCCAAGTTGTACAAAACCTATGTTCAATTCAGCAGTAGTAGGCAATCCACTCATTTCATCATGATCAACCATAGAAAAAAGTGCACCATCATGATCATTATCACAAATATTCAATTTACTGTCGTCTATCTGGTCGACTTCATCATTTTCAACCTCTTTAATAACAGCAGTAGAGGACTTGGATTCTTCCTCACAAATCCCTAAAGATTTCATACCTTTACTCTGACTAGTGATACCCTGCAAACTTGTGGAGTCAGAACTGCACTCTGAAGCAATAACTCTATTCCGTGACACTCTATTCAACAATGGCTTACCAGTTGCAACTACAGACTTCTTCACCGAACCGTTATCGTGACACAATTCGGAGTCATGCCTGAAGTTTACATTTAGCTTATCACTGAACTTGCTCACTGGTTCACAGTTCACCTTCGTATGCACCTCTTGCAAACGTGTAAAACACAACCGTGTTTGTCAAGCATCTGTTACACTCACTAGGTCTATATGCATTACTAGACACCATAGAGCCTTCTCGATATCCACCTCTCTGAGACCCTTTTGTCATCAATGATTGCGTTTTTCCCTCAGACTTCTCTATTCCAGAGGTGGGATGCATTATACTCGAAAACCTGCTCATGTAAACATTCATTATGTATGTGTAAGAATATTTACTTCAGTGATTCGGATGGCACCCAACACTGATACAGTCTACATTGTCATGGGTAAGCCTAAAACGTCCGTGATTACATGTACACCACTTAGTATTAACGAAGGTGGCTATACTTTTTCATTGAACTATATCTGTCCTGTCAAAAAGGTTCACATCTTTTCAATGAAATTGGAATGTTGTCATATTTCTGGTGTAGCCAAGCCTCTTATATAGCTAAAACATCAGCATTTTGATACATATTCAAAAATATTGGAGATTGGGGACAATTCGCTTTGTTAGGCACAGACCTGCAGTTAGTGTTAACAATTTCATGGACAGTCATACGATTAATTTCCGTACATTATAATACACGTTTCCAACTACAGTGATGTATTTTCCTCAGTTATTTTCAGGATGACTCAACACCATAGGTTGGAAAGGTTTTAAAACTATACGATTATAAATACGATTTGTGGTGTATAATGTTACCCTTTGTCTAGTTACTGTTGCACCTAAGAGGATGGCAAGAATAAGTAAGCACCAAGCTGAATACATTCCAAGGGCATACCGCGATAAGCTAAGGAAGTTGATGAAACAGCAATATTCCACTAAAGATATATCACTACTTCACTAAATCCACTTGTCACTTAAATCTACCATGCACCTTCGCTACCGAAATAACCTAAACGAAGAGTCAAGTGCCCTTTAAAAGTATCTCCAAAGTTTGTAACCTAACAATACTTCTAACAAAGTATAATTATATTTTAATAGTTTACACACAATGACAAGTTTTGTTACTGGTAATATTTCGAGCAAAATTACTGCCCGTGCTCACACCACTGTTGGAATTGTTTTATTCACACATTTATGATTTGTACTCATATATATAGTTCATTATTATTTTTTGCTCATTCATGTTTTGTGTGTGCATATAAGTGTTCAGAATTATACTCCACATTCATTCACGTGTTTGTATTTAGAATTATATTCCAAGTTGTTGATAGTTGTACTGAGTCACCCTTGTTACATGTATCCGGTGTGACTTTAATGAATATCGATTCTATTATGAGTCTTTCTTTCCATTTGTTCATGTTTGTTTTTAGAATGCACACATTGTCCCAATCGATATTGCGGTTTTTGTCCCATGCATGTGCAGCTATCGATGAATAATTTTCAAGATTTTTGTAAGCTTGTGTCCCTGTTGGTTGACCTTTGGTTAGGCGTTTATGTTCATTCACTCTTATTTTGACTGATCTGGACGTTTGCCCCACATATTTAGTTGGACAGTCAGCACAAGATATTTCATAAATCAAATTGATTTTATCCATCATTTTTATGGGATCTTTCAGTTGATTTATTTTATTTTTGGTTAGATTCGTCGGTTTAAAGGTTGTTCGTATGCCAACATTTTTGAGGTTTCTTTGAATTGCCTCTGATGTACCACTTTTATATGGTACTCCGACTGTTTTTTTCCAATATTCATTCTTGTTATTCTCCAGTTTTACTCTATTTTATTCTCTTATATATTATGTTTTATAAAATTACTGATACTAACAATATTTCTTAAAAAGCGAATACGATCGACGACGGACATCGCCTAATTACTTCTAAACAAAGTTATCTGCAATTAGCCTGCCACCATCTGTGAACTTTTCAGTGAATGGTTTGGGAACTATAGTTTAGAAACGCGCATCCCTGGTGAAACCGCACCCCTTACTAGCTCCTACCTCAAGAGCAAAGTGTTCACCAATCAATTAATGGAACAAGCAGTTAAAAGCCCTAGACCTTCTACTAACACCAGACTGGACGGCCCTACTGCAATAATTTTCAAGACAGTGGATGTGATATTCCCCTATTACTTCTTAAATTCTTCTCAATACCCATGGACACTGGCACTGAACCTAATGAGCGGAAAACTAGCTTTACAATTCCACACTACAAATCTGGTGATAAGGCAAACGTTAGCAATTACAGACCCTATAAATATAACCACAGTTGTCTCACGAATCATGGAAAAAGTTGCCAAAGATCAATTGTCAGATCGTCTACCAAGGGAAGATCTTATCACAAGGTCTGAACACGGATTTCTCAAAAATGAGTCCTGCGTTACTTGCCACTTCGACGTTTCCAACCGCATCACTAGTAGTCGCGAAGCACGTAAACTAGTAGTTGTTCTCTACTTCAATATATCTAGGGCGTTTTACATGGTACCTCACAGTATTCTCTTTGAGAAGCTGTACTCATGAGGAATTCGCGATCCATCACTTAGCTGGTTAGAGTCGTTTCTAAGCAACAGGGTACAAATAGCCAAGGTCAGATCTGTATTGTCTCATCCTGGGCAGATCACAAGTGGGGTTGGGCAGGGTAGTATCCTAGAACCAATTCTATTTACCGCCTACATTAACAGCATTTGCAAGTGCTTCACCTCAGGTAAACCATCCCGATATGCTGACGACCTCAAAGTCGCCTACCCATGCTACAGTCATGAATTAAACAACATGATGGGTGAAATACGTTTTGAAATAAGTAGTCTCGCAACATGACGTGTTGAATCCTGTCTAGAGTTTAGCATTGAGAAATAGGGCTGGACTTGTACCAGCAACAGTAACCTTGACCTGACTGTGAGAGTAAATGGGCGAAAACTAGCCAAGCTCAATTTATTCGTAGATCTCGGTATCAGATACCCCGGTTATTTATCGCTTCCTAGTTGTAAAACAAGGGTTTCATTATACAAAGTATGTTTCCGACCTA